GATCGAGGTAAGACAAGGGATACGATCTGTTTGATAAGCGACAACCGATAGGAACACTGATGTCACAGATCACTTGAGCGACCGTTCTCTCACACGCGCAAACACGATTAATCGCACACGTACACACGCACACATGCACACACGCGCGTATGCGGGAGACCGTGTGAACGAGCGCGCGCGCGCGTGTCGTGTATCACGCTGTTATTCGCGTTCCGTGCACAGAGTACGTCGTACGTGAGCTTTCCACGCCGCGAGAAAAAAGAACGAAGGTATCGCACCGAAAGGACCAACGGGAGGTATGGAAACGGAGGAGAAGCGTGGAAAAAAGAGGGAACGGTAAAGAAACAAAGGGAGACGTAGGACGATGTAGAACGTAAATGGAAAAAAAAGAAACGAAAATGATATACGACGATGAGCTAAAGAGGCAATAAGAAACGAAGGAAGAGAAAAGATGAGTGAAACGAGCAGATGAAATTTTTCAGCGGAAGTAAGTAGTAACGTATTTACGATGCTAACCGGCCGATAGACCCGCGCGACGCCTCTATCTGGTTACCATTACACTCGGATGTATGAAATGCACCAGCAGCATACACCATCCCCCCACAATAGCCCTATTTATGATTGGGCAAAATTGCTTTCCATGCGCAGAATAAAATCGCGCGCGGCCGAGGAAAAATCCGCGGGGGTTGGATACACGCGGTGCTGCGACCTGCGCTAACCCTCTTCAAACGCAATTCTCTCGTGTGAACAGCGTCTAGGACGTCCCGCGCGCACATTTCTATTATCTGGATTAATCAGTCAATCGGAAATGTTCCTCGACCGTCCGATTTTCTTTGCAGTACACGCTGGCAAAATTTAGGGAAAAATTAAATATGGCGAGAGGCCGCGGTCATGCGTACCACGCCGCTTCCAACTCCGTTTTCCTGTTCACCAATCAGCGAATGTGAATTCGTTTCAAAGTCATTTCGTCTGGAGCGCCATCTACATTCGTGGATGCGATGTGCCTGTCATATAAATTTTCTTATTATTTATGTGTTTCGATGGAAAAGATGTTCTGATATATTTTGTTATTAGGATATTTGTCATTTACCGTTTTAATAATATAAGTACGGTGTTCAATTTTACTGCAGAATCGCACATAATATTTGAATAGTTACAGTGACTTTCAAAATATGGCTATGTCAAACGTGTGAAATTTACTTTGGTTGAGATTATAAGGAAACTGGAATTCTTGAGAGATTTGCAATTTTATTATAAATGTATATAAAAGTAAAGAAATTAGCAAGAAATACTTATACTTAATTGTGTTAAACACATTATTTACATAACCATGTCTTATTACATACATAAAGTTTTAAATACAGTATTGTACTTAAACAGTACTTAATATTGTGATGTTAAATATTTACATCCCTTGACTCGTTTGCTTACATTAAGCTCAAGGTTCAAGTTTTCAATGTAAGAGCTTGTAGTTCAATGTCTTTCTCCAATCTAAAAACAGGATAACATGTCATTGACTATAGAATTTAATTATATAGAGTCAACATTTAACATTATACCTTTTGTGATGGTCCGTAATAACGTTATAAACATTCAAGAAATTTTTAAGACCATTATTAACATTCTCATTTCGGGGTCCAATTAAATCTATAAGAGATTTTAAATTATCACAACAAGATATTACAGTTTCCATTGTTTCTTCCCATTCCTTGGGTATCTTGAGAAGAATTACATTATCACAACATAATGTGTCATTATTTTGTAGAAAGATATATAATTGAGATAAAATATTTTCTGCCTTTTTAACATCCTCAGATTCTGTAATTAAAATCGTATTTAATTTAATATTTAGTTTCCTAAAACAGTTCTATAATATTTCAGTAATATAAATGTATATCAATAATATTTACTACTATATTTCTTTATATCTGCAAGTTGAGAATCTATTTTGTTTTATAACAAAGTTAAACATACTGTTCTTCTCCCTGATTTTTAATTCAAATAATTTAATTTTTTTCGATTAACTTCTTTAACCATTGTTGCTAATTTTGTGTTAATTAATTTCTCCTTTTCCTGTATCTTTCGTTTCAATATAATCGCTGTCATCAGATTCTATAAACATTTGTCACACAAATAACTTATTTTTGTATCCAACTGAGAAGGTGCCATTGATATCCATTTATTGCAAAGACTAAGGAGTGATGGTATCTGCTATAAATGCAAAGTTATTAAAAAATAAATTAACATATTATCTACATAAATACATTATCTGTTGCCACACACCTTGTTGATTAAGAAATAAATTTGTGAGAAGGTTATTAGCCATTGCTAACTGTGCTTAGGGTAATGCTAAAGACAAATTATTATTTGGAGTTGGTAAAATCCTTCAACCAGGCATCATTCCTCCTTCCCATGAATTCATTCCTCCACTTCCACCAATTTCTTCTAGGTTATTAAAGTTTCCATTACCAAAAGGGAGACATTTTATTCCTCGATTTAATGCCATGACATCTAAACAGATAATAAAAGTAAAAGGAACAACTAAAATACATCAAAATAGAAATAAATAGTCGTAACTTTTTCGTTTAACATGTTACATACCAAATGACGCCGTGTAATGTGATTAACTGTTAAATTTCAACGAACTCCGTTATTGAAAAACTTTCTGTTAGATTGACGAGAGAAAAGCTATAATATTTTAGAAAACTTGACAGTACAAAAATATAGGGTTAACAGAAATGCTTGAAGAAGTGCAGACAGTAATTGTAAGGGCCTATCGCGAATGTGAAATAGACTGATGAAAACAAGCAGCATTCAAAATGGTCGATTCTGTTAAGAGCCTTTACTTCTGATTGGCCAATTCAATATCCACATCCTCCTTAATAGATAAAAGCAAAAGGTTTACTTAAATTTTAACACTTCATCATTAAAGATTATGAATAAAGTAAAATTAAAAAATTGAAAATAAATATTTACTTTGTTTAAACAAGGAAGTAAAATTTTTTTACTATTGAAAAAATATACAAGAGATTTCAAATACTACACAGTTTTCATGAACCAATTGATTTCAAAGAAACACAAAATATTTATATATTTGTTTCTAATTAAATTATAATTAATTTTAACGCTTATCAACTTAAGTTGATTTTAATTATTGTTATATGTTTTTTTATCAAAATGGCGATGGCAAATATTAATCATTTATAAAAATATTTTCAATATTTTCGTACGGAGACTGTGTATACGAACGTAAAAGTTGTGCACGTGCAAATCACAATAAGCGTCTAAACATTTGATTTTACTGTAATTTGGTGTAACTAAATATCGAAAGTATTAGAAGTTCATTGATATTTTGTTAAATAATTTCATTAAGGTACTAAAATTACGTTACAACAAATATATAATACTTAAGGAAATTAAATACATTTTTATTTGCAATTACTTACCGGTAACGCTTGATGTTTCGAAATATTATGAAAACAAGTGGTTTTATTTATTGAATACTTTCAGAAAATAAATACTGAATTTAATGATTAAGTATAATGACAAATCAGAGATCAATTTCTTGTGGTCTTGACTTCTGTGCTGTACCAGACCTTAGTAATTGCCTTTTTGCAGCAAATTCAGCCAAGTATGTTAATAAAAATAATATGAATGGTATTATTTAATTAATTTAAGTCAAAAAGTCTCTACATATAATTTGTTCATAGGTATGATTTTGTATTTGTTCCACTCATTCATCCTTTATATAAAAGGGAATTCATTTCTGGTGCTGCAAAAGAACGCTCTGGCCCATTTACCAGACCAGACATAGTATTATGTAGTTCTGGTAAGTAAATTAATGAATGTTCATTGTTTACAAGAAAATAATTGTAATTAAATCAAATTAAATTCAATTTAATTTAATTTCCAGATTGGAATCATTTAATTATTGGTAAACTATCGCCGTATATTAGAGTTGATTCAAAAAATCCTGCTATAAAGAGAAACAGTGAAGAAACTCTAAATCAAGAATTAGCTTTAGCAAGACATCTAGGTCTTGTAGGTATCACTTTTAAGTTGATGGGTGGCATAGAACATAATGCAAACCTGGCTAGAATTATCTGTGATAAAGTAACAAGCTCGTGTACTTTACAGGTATAGATATTGGTTATATTTGGAAATTATATACTTATAACATGTAGTGTTTCTTAATTTCATTGTAGGTTTGGATACAAATACCTATGGAAAACCCAGTTAAACAAGCTTATTCTTACAGAAAACAAGAGTATAGTTCAATAGAAAGCCCATGGGAATGGTGGAATGCCTTTAGAATTATATGTGATTATGACAGAAAGATAGGTATTGCACTAATTGTAAGCCATGATCTTCCTGAACAAGAAGAGGTACTTCGCTATATCTTTATTTTCTATGTAGAATATTAAATACGTGAAGAAATCAAGTATGATAAAATTCATTTCCTTACAAGATTGATAGGTGGCTCGGAGAACCAGTTAAATGCTTGATTGTTCCTACAACCTTATTTATCACAAATAGAAAAGGGTATCCTGTTTTGAGTAAAGCTCATCAAACATTAATAAAAAAATTTTCAATGTTAGAAGTACAGTTTGTACTTACAGGAGCAAATCGTCATCAAAACATTAGTTATTATCACAATTATTTGGAGTACTTGTGGAAGGTAAACTATAAAACTACGTTTATTGTTTAGTTTAAAAATTATCTAAGTTTAAAAGTTTTCTATAGAGTTGTCAAATAAATGGACCAGTAGAAAGATTTGCTAGGGGTTACGAAGATTACTTACAATGTCCTTTACAACCACTTATGGACAATCTTGAATCTCAAACATATGAAATATTTGAAAAAGATCCTGTTAAATATACACAGTACCAAACAGCCATTCATCAAGCAATTCTTGGAATTATGTCTGAAACAAATGATAAGAACAAAAAATTGTAATATACAACATTACAATAACATATATTTATGAGACTAGATATAAAAATGTTTTTTTTTAATTACAGAGTGATAATGGTAGTTGGTGCTGGGAGAGGGCCACTTGTTTTTGCATGCCTAAATGCAGCAGAAATGGCAAACCAGAAGATCAAAGTATATGCCGTAGAAAAAAATCCTAATGCAGTATTAACGTAAGATTTTAGTTAATACAAGTTCTGCAATATTAACCTGTAAGGAGCACATTTATAATTTGTTACATATAGCTTACAGGCACTTGAGAGAGATATGTGGGAAGACAAAGTATCAGTAGTGTCATGTGATATGAGAGACTGGGATGCTCCTGAAAAAGCGGATATTCTAGTGTCCGAATTGCTTGGTTCTTTTGGTGATAATGAACTATCTCCCGAATGTTTGGATGGTGTTCAGAAATTTTTGAAAGGTATAGATTTACCATATTAAAAATATCTTTACTCCAATATTGTTACTGTTACTAACTGTTACTAATTATAATAGACGATGGCATAAGCATACCATCAACATACACATCTCATATTGCTCCTGTACAATCTTCGAAACTATATAATGAAGTAAGACACTGTAAAGACAAAGATAAACATTCCTTGGCACATTTTGAAACATCGTATGTAGTTCATCTGCAAAATAAATATGACATAGCAAAACCACAACCATTATTCACATTTAAACATCCAAATAAAGGTAGGTAATATTTCTGCTTCTTCCATTTGATAAAAATGTTAGACATTCGTTAATATAGTTATTTATAATAATTTCAGATTGTACCATTGATAATTCAAGATATGAGATTAAAACATTTGAAGTACAACAAAATTCTGTATTACATGGCTTTTCTGGGTATTTTGATGCAGTTTTATATAAGAATGTCACATTGAGTATAGAACCCAGTACTCGTAGTCCTAAAATGTTTAGCTGGTTTCCTATATTTTTCCCAATTAGGGTAATATAGAACTATAAAATATACTTTATATAATGAAATGTACATAGTTTATAAATAATTCGAAATCTAATACTATTTATATTGTAGGAACCAGTACAAGTGAAAGCAGGTGATCAAATAGTTGTTCATTTCTGGCGTCAGTCTAGCAGTAAGAATGTATGGTATGAATGGTGCATCAGTAAACCTATTCCAGGACCCATTCATAATCCCGGAGGTCGCTCTTATACTATAGGTTTATAATTTAATAACATTTATCATTCAGCTATCTCACGATCGATTTAAAATGTTTTTAATAATAAGTTTCTGATAAGAATTCCATCAGGAGTTCCTTTTTAAAGGAAAAATAACTCTGTTTGAACATTTTTAATTTTTTATAATTTAAATAAACTCTTTATAAAAATTTCTAAATTAATATAAAAATATTGAATTCCTTTTTTATTAAAAAATAAAATATACAAATATATGTAATATTATATGATATATATTATGAGAATCTGCAATATATTTAAGAAAGTGACAAAGCTTATTGTCGGGCACAAATACCAATTTGGTTCACAGAGATATACAGTTAAATAAATGTTGATTGGAGAATAGAACTTCATACTTTTCCTTGTAAATTATTCACATTGAACCTTGAGGTCACTGATACTTTACTATCCTGATAACATAAATTACATGTTATCTTCCAAGTGTGTTTCTACTGACCTCTTAACCTCACGTGATCGTACCAACGACTTCAACAATATTAAATATTTCCTAAAACTGTTAACGACCTAGTATTTATTACATTAAAATAATAAATTTTTTATTCAAATACATGTAAGTAATACAATTTTATGTATCTTAAAATAAACATACATGTTGAACGAATATTTTGCTAATTTTCGTATTTTTTTAATTTAGTAATTTACTTGATATTCTTTTTAACGACGCCTTTTTTATATAAAAGAATTCCTCATTTTTTCATGTTTGTCAGCTAAAATTATAACTATTATATATATTTTATAGATAGGAAACTTATATAAATTTTTCGTCTGAAAGATAAAGGTTGCATTAATATTTCAATTGATATTTATTTATTTCAGTATTAAGAATTGAAACTTATATTACTTCAAAACTGTGTGGCTCATATTTATAAATATAGTAACAATAATATAATTTATACATGTAATATATGTGTAGCTTTTAAGATATTTATACAGCTAAAATTAACCTACTTAATTATATTTATACATACTTCAATCTTAATAATTATAAAAATATAGACAATACTAGAAATTTGATCATTGCTAAGACTAATAATTTTATATTAAATAATTACACATGCAATAGTATATTTGTTCCGTGTTAGCTCGAATTATACGGTGATGAAATGTATTTTACGAGATAAGAGAGACTGATAATTTAAGAAACATATGCTGCTTCATACGCATCTTTTAATCATTCATTCGTATCGCGCCTTTTCGTTCGCTCCACTACGGAAAACTTACGAACTCTGAAAAGGATGATACATTACAGATGAAACGGCTACAAGAAGGTTAAGCTGTAGAATTTCACCTGTTTAAGGTTGTGTTTAATAAATTAAAAACATAAAATGGCAAAATTAGTTGTACACATGGCAAAATATGCCGTGAGGTCATTTTCATGTGCTTCGAAGGAAAATTTACTTAGTTTTCCTATTTCGAGGATGTCTTTACATCTTTCGCGTTCTATTGCTACTACTCAATGTCTCAAAGCCGGTAAGTTGAAAAACATTTTTACTAAAAAAACTAGTTACTGACAAGAAAATTCTAATGACAAACTTAATAAAAAAAATTCTAGTACTATTGTTCAATTATTGGTCATTGCAAATGTATGCAGTATTAAAAATGTATTAAAAATTTTATAAAAGTTATCTTTGTATCACTTAGCAAAGTTTATTGTATTAAACATATTCATGTATTATTAAAGTTTACCTTATTCCATAATCTGAGTTTATAGAATAAAAATTTGTTTAATTTTAGATAGGCTATATACAGAAACACATGAGTGGATCATTGTCGATGGTAAAGTAGGAATAATTGGAATATCTGATCATGCTCAAAAATCATTGGGAGATGTTGTGTATGCTCAGCTTCCAGATGTTGAATCTGTAATAGAAAAAGGAGGTCAGAATAATTATAAATGTATCTTTTAAAATAAGAATGTGTCTGTTTGATTCTCACGTTTCACAGAAATTTATTTTTACAGCTGAGGTTGGAGCATTGGAATCAGTGAAAGCTGTTTCTGATTTATGTAGTCCAATCAGTGGAAAGGTGATAGAAAAGAATGAAGCGGTTGAAAAAACACCTGCCATAATTAATTCGTCATGTTATGACAAAGGATGGTTGTTCAAAGTAGAATTAAGTAATCTAGATGAAATCAAAGATCTAATGAATGAAGAAGCTTATAACTCATATTTAAAGTCTGATCCACATTAAACATGTTTTGTTTTGAACGTATACAAAGTTATTATTCAGTAGTAGTTGTTTACTTTTTTGCTGTTAGTAATAATTTTTAAACTGTAATAAATATAAAAAGGATTTTTATTTATTTTAAAGCATAAAATAACAAACATGTTTAATTACATGTTA